AAGCTTTGATCTGATTATTTTGCATGTGTGTTGGTCTACTAAGTATCTATCAGTTGCCAGAAGTCTGTTTAGTGCAGGGTTTCCCAGACTCCACACTACTTGTATGTTGGATTGGAAAATTCTTTGTTGTGGGAAAGCTGTCCTGGGCATCTCTAGCTTAACTGAATAGATGCTGGTAGCAGCTCCCCATCCCAGTTGTGAAAATAAAAAATCTCTTAAGACATTGCCAGACGTTGACTGAAGGGCACAAATGTCCCCTGTTAACAACCACCGGTTTAGTGCACAGTACCCCTCTTTAGTTAAGACATACTGGGCAGAGAGATGCCAATGTGACTCACTGGTTAAACTATTTAAATAATGTTAAATCTTTTCAAAGTGAATCTAAATTCCTCCTTGAGCGTTAAGTGTAACTATTTTGTGTAACTTCTGGATGTTCTTGACATACTCTGAGGGAGGCAATCATTTACGTCCGTATATACGCAATAATTCCTCAGAAATCTCAATAAGTTGTCAAAGGAAATGCAAAATAAAACAGTCTGATGATTCGGTTTGTAAGTTCCCAATGATATCTCCTTACTTCCAAGATTAAATAATTCTCTGAGTTTTGTTTTATTATACGGTAGAGACAATGACAACAAATTTGTGCTATTTGTGTGGTTGTTGATATTTTTGTGCATGTTTTAAGTGGCCTTCTAAAAGATAATTTTTTTTAAATGACCATTTTTCCATCCACCAACCCCCCCCCGCCAAGGATATCAGGGTTTTTATTGTCAACATGTTTCAGGTTATAGTAATTCTCCTTTTGATAATTTGGTTTAAAAAAAACCCTCAGGTCTTTTGAAAGGAGGCATTGGTAGAACCATATAAGCCTTCTATATAGTTGGTGTGGGGTGTAGAGTCTTTTTCTCAAACAAAAAGCACAGAATAAAGAGGCCGTGAGATGTGTCAATGTGATATTCACTTCTTTTTGCCTCCTGCTTAAAGGGATCAGTACATTTTAGCCATTCTGACTGGACACAAGGGAGTTTAATATAAATAGGCCTTATAAAAGCAAAAAAAAAAATCCTAAAGAAATATATTATTGCAAAATGCTTTGCTAACTTTAGAGAAAGGTGGTTTATAATTATGTTGATTGAAAAGACTATTATTATTCAGCATTTTTTTTTACCTTTTAAACCCAAATAGACAGTCACTCATCAGAAACAGGCCTACATTTTTCAGAAAGTTAGGTTTCTTAAAAAAAAAAAAAGTATTATCTCATTTCTGCTTTCACTTAATATAGAATAACAGACACTGGATTTATATTCCTACCTTAAACAATTAAAAATCTGGAGAAAAAATATAGTAGAACAGTCTTTATGACACTGGCTAGTAGGCAATAGAAAACAGTGATCCCTGAAAGATAGGAAACAAATAAGATGAGACATATGATTTCCCTGGTATATTGCTTTGAGAACATCCAGGCTATGGTGCGAGGAGAAGCAAACCAGGAGGCATCCAACAAACTCCTGGAGTGGAAGAGATGGAGCTGAGAGTCTGGGGAGGTGGAAGAAGTTAGAGGTCACAGACAGAGTACGAGCAAGGAGAAAAGTTGCACAAACGCCACCAGAGATCTTGCAAGGGGCCTCCTATGTGTTCTGCATGGGTTATTGTTTGTGAGTGAGAAGACTACCTGAACCCAACAGGGAAAAACACCTGTAAGGACTAGAGGAAGGAGTTCCTGGCACTCACACAGGACCTGGAAAAAAAAAAATGCCTGTTCCCATCAGGAAGACTGGAGAACCTCCTAAATCATGGGCACTGGGTACACCATTTTCTTGCCTCAGTAGTGGGGAAAAACTAGGCCTACATGAAATACTGCTCAGGTCTTGCCCAACAAATCTTAAAAAGCAAGACTTGAAAACAACAAATTATTTCCAAGTAACTTGACTGCATCCCTATATAGAGCTCAAGAATATTTATAAGAATATCAAAAATAGGGGCACCTGGGTGGCTCAGTGGGTTAAGCATCTGCCTTTGGCTCAGGTCATGATCTCAGGGTCCTGGGATCAAGCCTCGCATCAGGCTCCCTGCTCAGCAGGAAGCCTGCTTCTCCCTCTCCCTCTGCCCCTCCCCCTGCTTATGCGCTCTCTCTCTCTCTCTCAAATAAAATCTTAAAGAAATATAAAAAATATCCAGCACTCAACAAAGTCAAACTTATGATACCTAACATCCAACCAAAAATTACTAGCATACTGTAAAGCTGAAAAATATGACCCATAATGATGAGAAAGACCAATCAAAACTGAATAGACCAACAGATGTTAGAATTATCAATGTATTAAAAGTTATTTTAACTGTATTCCATATGTTCAAAAGGTAATTTGATACCTGAAAAAGAAAAAGGTTTTCCAAACTGAACTTCTAGAGATGAAAATCCCAATGTCTGAGATGAAATATGCCCTGGATGAGGTTAACAAAAGATTAGACATTTCAAAAGAAAAGATTAGTAAATTTGAAGGCATTACAATGGAAGTTATCCAAAATAAACAGAAAAATATTTTAAATGAATAAGTCAACCATGGAAATACTTCAAGTATCCCAATAGACATGTATTTGGAGTCTCTGAGAGAGAAAAAGAAAGGTGGATAGAAAAAATATTTCAAAAAGTAATAGCTGAAATTTTTCCAAATTTGATGAAAACTATAAGCCAACAGCTCCAAGACACCCAACAAACCCCATACATAAGAAACATGAAGAAAACAACATCAAGAGAAATAAATTTTGCAAAACTAGCAAAAAATAGAAAAACTTAAAGCAGCCAGAAGAAAAAAGATCTATTACATATAAAGGAATTAAGATAAGCATGGCAGCAATGGAGGAGGAGACAATGGAACAACATCACTAAAGTATGGAAAGGAAAGGAAAAAACTCTCAACCTAGAATTCTAAACCCAGTGAAAATATCTGATGGATAGGAAGGCAAAATAAAGACTTTGTCAAACATACAAAAGCTGAAAGAATTCAACATCAGTGGACCTATAGTGAAAAAATTCTTTTAGAAGGAAAATGATAGCAGATGTAAATCTGGTTTTTCCCAAAGGAACGAAGATCACCTGAAAAGGTGATCATGACTTTTCCCCTGGACAGGAAGGGTCTACCTTGCCCCATTATGAGAACATGAGGGTGCTCCTGATTCAGCTTCAAGTTTCCCAACAAGGAATATGTGACAAGCATGAGGAGGAACATGATGATAAGGAACTGGTCCCTGACCAAACAGAGCTTCCTGACAATCTGGACCACTCACCTGGAAACTGTTACTGAGAGACTAATAAAAGTATACTTTTTAGGGTTTCTGTATTTTAGAGTATTACTGATACTGCACGTTGACCTTTACCTTATTTAAAACAATTATTTTTAAAGCTGTAAAGTTGTGCCTTCTACATTAAGATCTTTAATCTACTTGGAATTTTTTTTTTCAACATAAAGATAGAGTTGATCCAGAGCATCCTAATAAAAATACCATCTTGGGCGCCTGGGTGGCTCAGTTGGTTAAGCGACTGCCTTCGGCTCTGGTCATGATCCTGGAGTCCCGGGATCGGGTCCCACATCGGGCTCCCTGCTCAGCGGGGAGTCTGCTTCTCCCTCTGATCCTCTTCCCTCTCGTGCTCTCTATCTCTCATTCTCTCTCTCTCAAATAAATAAAATCTTCAAAAAAACAAAAACAAAAAAAATACCATCTTTTTCTCACTAATCTGAAATGCCAACTCTATCATGTATCAATCACGTATATGTGTATGGAAGTCTTCCTGTCCTATCTCTTCTGTTAGTGTGTTTCTCTGTCTATACACCAGTATCATGATATCCATGCACTAATTAGATATGTTTATACTAATAGGGAAATTATTCTTTCTTCTTTCTGAAATGTACCTTGATTCTTCCTAGCATGTTGAATTTCCAAATAAATGTTAGGATCATTTTTTAAAAAGTAGATGAAGAGGTTTATTAAGAGTTGCAGCTGGATCACGTTGGTTTCAGCCTGTCTTATTAATAGCTGATAAGTACCGAACTCTCCAGTCCATGACAAAGGTTAGTCACAGAATGACTTCTTGTCTTTACAACCGCGGGGACAAAAGCAGGTATGGTAGTGAAGAGTGATACTTTACTTATGTAGTAGGCATCTAGGGGTCAGATCTCTTCCTTCTCTCCCACATTCCCCTAGAACTAAGGATATCATTCCCCACCGGGTCAACATGAGCTTCAGTTATTTTGGTGTAGACTGTGTAGAAGCAGCTGTATTGCTGTGATCGCATTTAAGTGTATATCAACTGCACATTGAGGGCTCCTTCAAAGCATGGGCCAGACTAATATTTATCAGATTCACAGAGTAAAATATACAGCACTTATTTTCCAGGGTTTTCAATAGATGCTTCTGGACTGACTCGAGGGTTAAATTCTCTATAACTCCATTTTAATATAATATTGAAGGATTTTGACAATTTATCAACAGTTACCATTTACTGTGGAGGGCCTGCTTTGCTCTAGGTACAATACTAAGTACTGAGTATTCAGCAGTAAGGAAATAGATATGGATCCTTCTCTCATAAGACAATCGAACATTTAAACAAAATAAACAGAAATATATTTAATTTATAATTGTGCTTAATTCTATGAAAGGAAAATAGGGTCATATATAAGAATAACTGGAGGGAGAATAATACATTTTTTATATATTAGAACATGTTCTGTTCAAAAGAAGTGTGATTTGACTTGTAATATAGCTGGATTTATGTAGCAAATTAAACATAATCTTTCCCTATAGTTAATTTATTCATTTATTCCACAGTATTCATGTTCATTGCCTCTGTAATGATCCAGATATTAGGCTCACAAAAATGACCAAGACACAGTTCCTGTCTTTGAGGAGATCCAAGTTCAGTAGCTTACAAAATTACCTTTCACTAAAATAATTGCATACCAAAAGAAAGTATAAATATATCCTTTTCATTTTTTCTTTTTTAGATGAGGATAGGCATTCACTCGGGTTCCGTGCTCGCTGGAGTTGTTGGGGTGAGAATGCCACGATATTGCCTGTTTGGAAACAATGTCACCCTGGCAAGCAAATTCGAATCGGGAAGCCACCCTCGGCGCATCAATGTCAGCCCGACCACTTACCAGTAAGTGTTCTCTGACCTCCGCTCCTCCTTCTGTCTTCGGCCTTGCCTTGAGCTAATAATATCCTGTCACTTGTGAGACCCTGTATATTTTTTTTTTATCCTGTCATTCTCTAAGGTAATAGGAGTAGATCCACCCAGTCAGAAAGATAGCAATTGTGACATAAACGTTTATGTGCACCTGAGAGAGTGCACGAAGAGCCTGACTTGACTGAGAGGTAAACATAGGTGTGTCGTTTCCCACAGTTGCTGTCCTTCTCAGGTACACCTGTTTGAACACAGGAGAACAAGCGTTGAAGATCGGCATCCCACCCAAAGTCCTCACATTTTCAAAATGTTCCTCAGTGTTTATAAAAGTCAAAGAACGAGATAGAAAAGACATTTTACAGACAGGGACCATGCCTGTTTTAGCTCATCATTATATTCCCAGAACTTATAAAACATGCTTAACACATAATAAGCACTCTCTAAATATTGGTTGAATTAAGGAATGCATTGGTAGGATCGACTTCTCCAGATTAAGAAGATGGTATGACTGTCTCCTGTATGTTAGACATTGGTTTTATGCTGGGCGTTGTTGTGCAAGCTAATTGGTGCCATAGTTTGGATAACTAAAAAATCATATTGTAAAACTGTAGATGGAAATAGTGACCATTGATATTTTTTATTTTTTATTGAAGTATACCTAGCATACAATGTTATATTAATTTCAAGTGTATAACATATTACTGACAATTCTATACATCCCTCAGCGTTCAACACAGTAAGTGTAGTCAATCATAAGTCACCGTAAAATGTTTTTATAATATTATTGACTATATTCCCGATGCTGTAGTTTTCATCTTTGTGACTTATTTATTTTATATTGGGATTCTGTACTTCTTTATCCTCTCTATATCTTTTACCCATCCTCCTACCCCCCCCGATGGCAACCAGCAAGTGTGCTTTGTACTTAAGCATCAGGCTTTTTTGTCTCTTTCCTTCTTTGTTTTGGTTTTTAGATTCCACATATAGGTGAAATCCTATGGTAGTTGTTGTTCTCTGACTTATTTCATTTGGTGTCATATGCTCTAGGGTGGTGCCCAGCTGGAGTGTCTCTCAATCAAATGGGGGCCTCCAAATGTGGGGCAATGGTCAGCTGGAAGCTGGTGGTGTGGGAGGTGAAAGCATTCTCCCAAGGCAGAACAAAGGAGATAGAAGTTTACTGAATACCCTCCAAGGGAGCGGTGAGCAGGACAGTAGAGGAGAGGTTGTCTACCATGAGGCAGTGGGTGAGGGCCACTTTTAAAGAGGGAAGGTGAGGAGGTATGGCGACATATGGAATTCTCCCTTTTTTGGTAACTGTGCCTGGTTGTAAGTAGCCCCTTGGTCAGCTAGGGCCTAAGGATGTTTTGAGGTGGGGTGGGTTCCTGATGGGCGTGTCTGGAGTCATCCAGGTGGTCCCATGTGGTCCTTTTCACATCCCATTGCTAAAGCCTGTTTGCCTAAAAGTGGCCTCTATGTTTAGGTCCGTTAATGTTGTTGCACATGGCAAAAGCACATTCTTTTTTTATGGTTGAATAACACACACACACACACACACACACACATCCCATATTTATCCATTCATCTATTGATGGACACTTGGGCTCCTTCCATATCTTGGCAATTGTAAATAATGCTGCCATAAACATAAGGGTGCATCTATCTTTTCAAATTAGTCTTTTCTTTTTCTTTGGATAAACACCCAGTGGTGGAATTACTGGATCATATGGTATTTCTGTTTTTAATATTTTGAGGGAACTCCACATTATCTTCCACAGTGGCTGCACCAGCTTGCATTCCTGCCAACAGTTGCCAGGTTTCCATTTCTCCACATCCTTGTCAACACTTGTTGTTTCTCAGCCTTTTGATATTAGCCATTCTGACTGGTGTAAGGTGATGTCTCATCGTGTTTGGGTTTTTTGTTTTGTTTTGTTTGGGGGGATTGTTTTTTGACATTTCCCTGATGATGAGTGACGTTGAGCATCTTTCCATGTGTCTGTTGGTCATCTGCATGTCTGTTTGGAAAAATGTCTGGTATCACAGTAATGCTGGCCTTGTAGAATGAGTTAGGAAGTTTACTTCACTTTTATTTTTTGGAACAGTTTGAGAAGAGTAGATATTAACTCTTCTTTAAATATTTAGTAGAATTTACCTATGAAGCCATGTGGTCCTGAAATTTTGTTTGTTGGGAGTTTGTTGATTATTGATTCAATTTCATTACTAGTAATTGCTCAGTTCAAATCTTCTATTTCTTCCTGATTCAGTTTTGGAGGATTGTATGTTTCTGGAATCTATCCATTTGACTAAGTCATCCAGTATGTTAGCATATAATTTTTCATAATATGTTCTTATAATACTTTGTATTTTTGTGGTGGCAGCTGCTATTTCTTCTCCTTCATTTCTGATTTTATTTGAATCCTCTCTTTTCCTTGATGAATCTGGCTTAAATTTTTTCAATTTTGTTTATCTTTTTAGAAAACCAACTCTTGGTTTCATTGATTTTTATATATATGGGGTATATATATATATATATGTGGGTGTGTGGGTGTGTGTGTGTGTGATTCAACCATACAAAAAGAATGTGCTTTTGCCATTTGCAAAATAGTCTCTATTTTCTTCATTTCTGCACAAATCTTTATTTCTTTCCTTTTACTAACCTTGGGTTGGTTTGTTCTTTTTCTTTCTTTGTAGCTCCTCAAGTGTAAGTTTAGGTTCTTTATTTGAGAATCTTCTTGTCTTTTGAGGTAGGCCTGTATTGCTATAAAATTCCCTATTGCTGCTTTTGTTGTGTCCCAAGATTTTGGACTCTTGTGTTTTCATTTTCATTTGTCCCTATGTATTTATTGATTTTGCCTTTGATTTCATGGTTGACCCACTGATTGTTGAGTAGCACGTTATTTAGCCTCTGCATGTTTGTGTGGTTTTTTTTTTCAGATTTTTCTTATAGTTGATTTCTAGTGTCATACTGGTTGGAAACCTACTTGATACGATCTCAATCTTCTTAAATTTACTGAAACTCGTTTTGTGGCCTATCATGTAATTATCCTGGAGAGTGTTCCATGTGCACGTAAAAGAATTTTTATTCTGCTGTTTTGGGATGGAATGTTCTGTATAGATGTCAGGTTCATCTGGTCTAATGTGTGTTTCAAAGCCACTCTTTCCTTATTGATTTTCTATCTGGATAATCTATCTGTTGATGTAAGTGGGGTGTTAAAGCCCCTACTATTATTGGATTACTGTCAATTTCTGTTTCTGTCTGTTAATATTTGCTTTATATATTTTGGTGTTCCTATGTTGTGTATACAGATATTTACATTTGTTATATCCTCTTGCTGGATTGTTCCCTTTATCATTATGCAATGCCCTTCATTGTTTCTTGCTACAGTCTGTTTTGAAGTCTATTTTGTCTGATATAAGAATTGCTACCCTTTGTGCACTTTCATTTGCATGGCATATGTTTTTCTATCCCTTCACTTTTAGTGTGCATGTGTTTTTAGGTTTGCAGTGAGACTTGTAGGCAGGATACATATGGGTCTTGTTTTTTTTTATTCATTCAGTCATCCTATGTGTTTTAATTGGGACATGTAGACCATTTACATTTAAAATGATTGATAGGCATTTACTTGTGAATTGTTTTCTGGTTGTTTTTATAGTTCTTCTATGTTTCTTCTTCTCTTGCTCTTTTCCCTTGTGGTTTGATGGCTTTGATTAGCATTGTGCTTGGCTTTCTATTTTTTGTGTATATATTATAGGTTTTTGATTTGTGGTTACCATGTGTTCATATGTAACATCTTATGTGTATAGTAGTCTATATTAAGTTATAGTTCCTTAAGTTCAAATACGTTCCAAGCACTAAATTTTTATTCCTCCTCCATGTTTCATGTTATGGTATTATGTTTTACATCTTTTTATTTTGTGTATTCTTTGACTAATTTTTGTAGATATAATTGATTTTATTACCACTTTTGTGTTTTAACCTCAATACTGACTTTATAAGTGATTGATCTATTTTTACTATATATTTGCTTTTACCTGTGAAATTTTTTCCTTTCATAATTTTCTTCCAGTTATGGCCTTACCTTTATACTTAAAGAATTCTCTTTAACATTTTGTATAAGGCTAGTTTAGTGATGAATTCCTTTAACTTTTGTTTGGGAATCTCTTTTTCTCTCCTTCTCTTCTGGATGGTAGTCTTGCTGGATAGAGTACTTTGGTGTTTTGTTTTTTTTTTTTAATGTGTTTTTTTGTTGTTGTTGTTTGTTTTTTTAACTTTCAGCACTTTGAATATATCCTGCCAATTTCTTCTGGCCTGCAAATTTTCTGCTGAAAAATCAGCTGATAGCCTTATGGGGTTTCCCTTGTATTTTGTTTTGTTTGTTTTTGTATTGCAGCTGTAAGATTCTTTATCATTGCTTTTTGCTATTTTGTTATTTGTCATGGTATGGACCTACTGGGTTTATCTTGTTAGGGGTTCTCTGTTTCCGGGACCTGGATGTCTGTTTCCTTCCTCAGATTTGGGAATTTTTCAGCTATTATTTCTTCTAATAAATTTTCTCCCCCTCTCCCCCCGTTTTTAAAAAGATTTTATTTATTTACTTGTCAGAGAGGGAGAGAGAGCACAAGCAGGGGGAGTGGCAGGCAGAGGGAGAAGCAGGCTCCCCGCTGAGCAGGGAGCCCAATGTGGGGCTCGATCCCAGGACCCTGGGATCATGACCTGAGCCGAAGGCAGACACTTAACTGACTGAGCCACCC